CCCCCTACACATCTATCTTGAAAACAGTTTCTTATTTGTACCCTTTTTAGTTTTGTAACATAATTCCTCTGTTTCCTAAACTCTTACCAATTCTCATCTGTCTTACACTTGTCAAACTTGTTTTTCAGCATTTGCTATTTATAAATAGCCCTTCTTAATTCACAGTTCATGTATGGTACACTATTTTTATGTTTTCGCCTTTTTTTCCAGGGTGCATGTTTGTCTGCAACATTTACAAATGCTTTTTCAAAATTTTGATAATTTAGATTTACATCTGAGGCATCATTTGCTACTGGAGGTGTTTCAATTTTTTGTAAATCAGAAATATAAGATTGTACATCAAAGCTCTTAAAACTTCGAGTTAAAATTACAGAATTTTTAGAATTTGTGATACTGGCCTTGATAAAAGTTCTAATAAGATTGTGACAATCGCTTACTCCAGTATTAAAATTTAGGGTGTTTTTACATACTGTTTGATCATATGTTAATATGACATCAACAAGGGATGATTCGCAACCCTTTTTAAAACATGTTGGTGATTTAATAATATTATACAGATCGAAAATGTCACATATTTCAGCTAGACATTTGGATTTCTCTTCATTCATCATATCAAAATTCAAATCTCCAAAAATCATGATTTTTCCATAAAAAGAAGTACTTTTTTTCAAGAATATTGCACATAGATTTGTTAAAACAGAGCTCATTGAAAGATGGAGGTCTATATACACACAACAAAATCCACTTCATTTTACCTAGTGTCACTTCCATAGTGATGGATTCTAAATCTCGGTCCTCAAGGTCTGTTCTTCTCCTAGCTGGAATATATGATCGCATAAATACTGCCAGCCCTCCTCCATGCCTTGTTCTGTCACGCCGAAACAGTTTATAACCTTCCATTGCAAAAATAGCATCAAGGAACGAAGAGTCTATTTTCGTTTCGCTAATGATGAGACAGCCAACCAATTTAACAATTAATATGTCTTTAATTTCGTCAAATTTATACCTTAGACTGTTAAGATTTAAGTGACACACCAAAAAGTTATTTAGGTTTTGCTTCCTTGCTTCTCGTAACGTCTGCCAGATGTCTGCATCTTCCAGCTGATCGGTCTCTGAAATTGGGTCACTGGGTTGCGGGTTTTGTATACCCGAATCGTCGAGCCCGATCGTAATGCGGGATACGAGATCTACAGCATCTGCAGTCGTTGAGGATGAATATGGGATATTGTTTGTACACGTACTGCATGACCATTGACTGATCATCTCTGGATTGATCCCATGCTTAGATGTGACCATTCCAGTTCAAGTTTAAAGTACATTTAATGTATTGATTGAATAAATACATATGTTTAAAACCTTTAAACTTGAACTGGAATGGTGATATTTAATAGAAAAATTTACATAAAATTGATTTACAATGTACATGTACTTACATATGAATGTTCTCTATACATAACGTATATCCATATTAACTAATCATTCCCACTTCTATACCCTTATAGGCAATGGAACTAAAACAAGTCTTCCTACAATATCCCTTGCACCATGCATAGAGCTATAACTAATGTTTCATTTCTCACCTTAGAATCAATAAGTAACAGACTGGCATGTTGAATTTCTCACCTTAGTATCAATAAGTAATAGACTGGCATGTTGAATTTCTCACCTTAGTATTAGTAAGTACGGTAATAGACTTGAATGCATTCATATACTGTCTAATGTGCTGTGTTTTATACTTGTAAATTTGGTAAAAATATTATGTTTATAATTCGCAAGAAACGGCTGTACCTACTTATGGGACACGTGGTGACTGTATTTTCAATGAATCCACTCAAATATGAAAGATAATTTCTCAGAAAATTGTGCTTAAAAATCGTGTGTAGTGCGCAAAATGCAAATGCCTTAATTAAACGTTAGCAATGTACAGAAATAGAGCCGACTAAATGTTACGCAGCTACGTTAAGGTCGCCAATAGGAATTATGCTTTAAAATATATACCGAAAAAATCAATAATTCTTTTTGTATCATAATGGGTATCAAAATAATGGACTTTTTACGATGAATCATAATTTTTAATTTGTTATATGCTTGCGTTAAATTTAAATTTTGTAAAAATAATTGATCATCAAAATCTGATAGTGTACATTGTGTATGTATAGTTTCCTGTTAGTTGACCAGGGACGGTGGACACCTAATTAAGGTCTATTGTTTAACCAGTCGGTACTGTACACTGTTAATCTTACCCCGTTTCCAAATGTGTATGGTCGGATGTCATGTTTAATCTGATCGGCTGTTCTTCCGAAAATCGATTTTGAAATAACAATGATTGAAGACCGACTAGATTTTAACAGATACTTACCGCTGCATTATATGAGAAGGATATGGATAAGACAAAATAACGAATTAATTTTAATTATTTATGATGTAAAGGTTAAACTTTGAAAACTAAACATTTTTTTATACCTGTGTCCCCAGCCCGTCCCCCCCCCTCCAAAAAAGGCAGATTTTTTTTTCATGAGAACATGACTTTATATTTCTTGGAATTATGTAGCGGAATATGTTGTTTTTAACACATGAAATAAAAATACCATCAGAGTCTTAAAAAAAAGTAATATATATTTTGTGTTTATGGATAAAGATAATTTTAAGAACAAATTGATTTTCGGTAGTGAGAAATTAAGATACATCACAGGGGGTTGGACCCGGCGTGTAATAAAATAATTATTTATTTTTTAAAACAAAAATCATGTACACAAATAATAAAAACAACGTATGTAACAATTAATTATTTAAAAAAAATCATATCCGGTAAAAAGATTAAACTTCTTTTTTATTGATACTGTAAAAAATTTAAAAATAATATTAGAATCCGGGAGCAAGCACTTGTTACCTAACTTTATTCTCGGGGCCCGAGATTTTGCATGTTGACAGAAATATCATATAAAAATGACGATCGAGACAAAATTATAAATCACAAAAAAAATTGATGTTGCGTAAATGATATTGAAATAAATTTAAAAGATAGATCAAAGATTCGAAATAAAATGCGTAAAACGTAAAAGTTTAATGAGGTTTGACCATTAAGTCACCATTAAGCTCGGCTTAGAGTTAGATTAATGGTAGCTTAATGAAGTTTGGACATTAAGCACCTGTAAGTTGCAGCTTAATGGTGGCTTAATGGAGTTAACTTCTTTAAGCACCATTAAGTCACCATTAAGCTAACATTAAGCGATTGCTTAGAGGTGGTCTTTCGTCTTGTGTTTCATCTGCGAAAAACGAAAAACTTGCTTTTTAAGACATGAAAATAATCTATATATTCCAACTCTAGAAACCTAGAATCTTGTTTATTATGGGAAAGGCAGACAAAGCCAAGAATCATATATTTCCAAAGAAGTAAAATTGTTGAGTTTCTATTCATTGCTCGGAAAATGGCATAAATATGCAACATATCTTTAGTGTGCAGTGTAATTCTTCGTGAAATGCATGGTACGCAGCATTGTTAAGGCTTAAATAAGGAGGCATGGCCTAATTTATACGGGAAAAGTTTACTGTGACGTCACATTAAAAGATAACATTTATGCAATCCTCATAATACCTGAAAATGAAATAGTTTGCAACATTCAACTGCATTAGCATTATAAACAACGAGTAAGCTTATCAATGCATTTAAAAAAGGTTGCTAGTTAAATCCCATACAGTTGGTTATAAACAAATCAAATCACTGATCTCGATGAATTTGTCAATCATGACGTCATTTTGGTAAAAATAGCGTATTTCATGTGCTGTGAGAGACAGATTGAGGATTTTTTAAACAATGAAAAATGCGTTTTATTTTAAAACAGAAAGTTATTAACAGGTGTTTAAAAGGTTATTAATAGCAACGTATATCCTTTGTTTAGTGCGATTGTTCATTAGTTTGAAGTTTTTGGAAAGGTCTATTCCAAAGTATCTGCAAGCCCTATCAGATCAAAATTGTGTAAATTTAAGATGGACACTTTTTCGTATGTTGGTTAATTGTGTGACTTAGCCTTACTTAAAGACAGCATTCGTCGAGGTTAGCTCTGCAATTTCTGAATACCTATGTTTTTTTAAGCGATCTAAAGGTCTATGATCTACACAGAGAATAACAGTACATATATAAAGGTCTATGATCTACACAGAGAATAATTGTACATGTATCAAGGTCTTTGGTCTACACAGAGAATAACTGTACATATTCTTTTAGCTCATAAAATAATGTTGATTTAAGAAAAGGAAACTACTACTTATAGAATGTATCTATTACCACAGTTGTAACAACCTTTAATATATTTCAGTGCTTAGGCGATTCTGTGTAAAATAATGAAAAAAAAACATTTATAAAGGTTTGTTGACGTATTGCATGAATGCACTCGTATTTTTAACTTTTAATACAATGGTATATTAGAAATAGTTCAAACATGCTTTTGTGCATTATTTAAAAATACGCAAATTTATGGACTTGGACTATTATACATTCTTAAGCGATTTGTCATATTTAACAGAACTTGCTTGAGGTATTTGTACATTCTCCTTATTTAAATTTAAAATTTTAGCATCCTTCTTCATACAAGTAGATATTTAATGAGCTTATAACAACATTTATTTTCCAGGGATATTTAATGAATGAAGTAAAAGTGAAATTATAAAGAATAAAAATACATATTTCGTAGATAACTTTTGCGATGAAATAATGATTCTTCATACACGATATCTTAGTTTTTGTATGGAGAATAAGCATGAAAATCCTTACCATCAAAACGATAAATTTAATAAACGTTCAAATTATTTAAGTATGATGCAATAATAATTACATAATATTATATAAAACCTACCTCGAAGAGTTCGATTATTATATATAAAAAATATCGTAAGATTGAGTTAGATCGAAATAAAGCGATTGTTTGTAGAAAAGATGCTTCATTGAATTTTTGACAAAATATAATTTCAGATGGCTATATTCCAACAAAATTTTATTTCAGACAGCTAGATAACAACAAGATAACCACCATTCCAGACAACGCCTTTAATGGAATGCCAAATTTACAGAGACTGTAAGTTTTTAAACATTCATTTATTAAACATTTCCTTTTCTTCTGTCAGAGCTTTTACAAAGGTTATCTGTTAGCCAATCCCAAATTTAATGTATCAGGCCTACAACTTTTTGTGCTGATTCGTGAAAAAAGTACAAAGAGGATGACAAATTTAACTTTTATAATTTTCTTCAATTCTAATGCTACTGTATCATCTTTATTTCAATTTAGTTGCTAAAGTCCTATTCCAACAATGCTTTAACTGCAGAATAAAACTTTTTTTTCTATAGTACATATGTAGGGCTTAGAGAAAAAAAGTTTCTGAAATAAGAATGAATAACCTTTAAGTGGAATTTTAGCGAGACAGAAATTTAGTGATTTCTACTTAAAATCTGGTATTTTATTTTCAGCAAGAAGTAGCTATTACGAATAATATGCAATTAATTTTTAGCGTTATCCAATTTTGACGATGTAAGAACCCTCGCTTATAATGCCAAAAAAATACTCGCTAAAAATTCTTCTTATACGGTATTGTCCTTTAATTATTACATGAATTCACTGTTGGGATGTGACTTAACTTTAACGGTAATTTCCATTCCTACGTCGATACGATATATCCTGGTGAGCTTGAGATAAAAGATACCACAGAGTCCAATACTTCTGTTTCATACTGGATATTTTATTTGAAAAAGACACTAATGGTAATCTTACAGCCAAACTATATGATAAACGTGAGGACTTTAACATTTCTATCGTAAACTTCCCTTACTTATGCAGCAATCCATGCAGGAGTCCGTGTTTGCTCTGCTTTAATTATGTATTGTTTTATGGACTTTGAGATTGAATACTGTTCGTTATCTCCATATCCTTCTTTGCGGCAAAACAATGAATTGCCGAATTATGTACTCTTTGACATAAGCGCAACGATCCGCATTTCAATTCTGTGTGTTTTCAATTCAGAAGTTCAAGATTGCTTTTGTTTGATTGATAATCATTTTTTAATTTGTTTAAAAGCGTACTCGGGAGCACAAGTTGATGGCAAATCATTTGAACAGAATTCTGCAATTCTGAAGAAATTGTGTCCAAAAAAAATATACTTTCTTCTAAAATCCTAAAACACAAGCTTGTCTATATTACAGTTAAGGTAGGTAGCGGGTTTGCTTTTGTCATCAATTTTGGTACACAATTTCGACGATTCGAACGATTGTTTTGTGCACAATTGATTGTGACGTCAGTTACGTCACAAAGACAAAGTTACATTGTTTCCCGTTTAATTCTCTGCAAATGACTTCAAGTCTGTACGAATCAAGTAAATTAATACAAAGTGCACGCTATTGTACGTAAACCTCTTACATGTTTCATAATTAAATTCTGATGCGATTACATGTACATGTATATGTTATACATGTATCTTAGCACTAATTAAATACAAAATCAAATGAAAGGAATAATTTTATTGTAAGTATAACTAAACTGGTATAAATCAACGTAAAAGTTCTGGTTCGCAGAAAGAAAGTTATCATGAAAAAAAAATTGTTTAGCGTAAAACTAATGGGGTAATATGTGCGCACGTTATTTGAAACTCAGGGGAACATGCGTATTGTATCATGACTGCCAATCAAAACCGGGGCGAATTTCAGGATGGAATCAATCCTCATCACTAAAACAGATTAAAAGTTACATGTATTTTTCATTGTTTTTTTTTTTTAATTAATCATCATTATCAAAATTGTTTAGTTTTTTTTTTTGTATTTAAATCTCGTGTATTCGCCTTGTTTTGCTGGCTAATAATTGTGAAATACATTTTTAAATCAAATTTATTCAAACAGCTAGACTGTAAGATATTGGCTTGCGACTATTATAGAAAGAATATTGCAGGTACACCCCCCCCTCCTCCCCCCTTTTTTTCCCTCGGTATCGGGATGTTTTTCTTACCGTTTTCAAAAAAGAAAATTATATAATAATATATTTTATCACTCACGTTGTTTGTTGCTGTATTTTAATTCTCATGCACAAGGAATGTTTATACCGTCCATTCTGACTTTGTGATCAGAGTATGAATTTCACAATACTAGTAAAAATAAGTTGCTGGTCATCCTAATATGTCTCCGCACTAAAATTACATGATGAACAAAATTAAATTTTGTATCTATGTCACTTTTTAAATCTTGCATATTCCAAAGGTCAAGGTATTTATACTCGTACTGTAAATTTGTTTACGTTCAACAAATGACGTTGTAGATTTAAATAACACCATAAACGCAACATTTAAGCAGTATAAAAGAAAACTTTCAAATTATTTAGCAAAAAATCTAGCGAGAAGACATATTTATTTTTTTATATAAATAGTTTTGATTTTACCTCATCTTGACATTTTGAATTTCCTGACTAATTCGTCTACGTCTTTAAAAAGTTAGCCAACCTTTTAAAGGTACTTGGACACAGATTTGAAGTAAATATTTTCTCTATAATATTACAACTTATATATTTTAATAACATTTCACACAAAAATTAATTAAAAATCTTATTTTATTTAAAAGTTATTAAAACTTTAATTTTTTTGGCCGGTTTGATTGAAACATCCTTGCACTTTCAAAAAGTTTAACTTTATTGAAAGTGCAGATGTTATGCAAAAAAAAAAATTAACTTCAAATCTGAGTCCAAGTACCTTTAAAAAGAAACTATTTTCCGAAATTGGCTTAAAACGTCACTTTTCCATACATTTTAATGGTAAAGCGTAAAAAACGCACTAATAACAGTACCGCGTTTACAGTATTGTAGCATTTAAACTACGTAGGCAAATTTAATAAAAATTGCAGATAACACGCTGTGAATTTTAAGAAACATTATATCAAATTTTCAGGATATGTTTTCTCACAAGAATTTTTACGCAGTAAACCTGCGACCTACCTTAATATGAGCAAAGTGTACTTCATGCAATGGACGAAAATGTGAATATCATTGAGGAAATTTTACCGAATGTGACCTGCATCTGTTATTACACATGTTGTAAGAGGGATAATGGCCATATTTAAGCATTTAAAACGTTTAAGAGACACTCAAACAGGGGACAAGAAATTGATCAGCTTCATTCGATGTACATAGACATTAAAAAGCTTTCTTTCAAAAAATAATTAAATCTGAATTTGATCTTGGTAATGACATGTGAATTGACAGATCATTTAAGTTAAACTTATGTCAGAAATCACTTTCTGTGTTAAAATAAGTCATTTGAAATAAATAACGAGAGTTGTTAGAAAAAAATGTGGACACATTGATTGATGGATAAATCTATTGGAGATATGAAGAATGATGTACATTTGTATATTTCGTTCAAAAAGATGTATAAAGCTGATCCATTTACTTGTATTTTTAAAAATGTAATGAATTAAACTGTGTAGTATTATGATTCAATGTGAATCCAGATTTCACAATTTACTGGTCGGTGTTGCACATAAATGAGAGGAATTCCAACGGTATTTTAAGTATTTAAATGATCCAAAATTTTTCATTTTCCTGTGTAATATTCAAAATTCAAACTCATGACGTTATTATTAAATTATGTTTACACAAGTCTCGGTCGTACGGCTTGTACATGTACATACAGTAAGTAGACGTTTAAAGTTCCGAAAATAGTGTGTATATTATTGATTTTTATAAAAAAAAAAACATGGTTTCTGTTTAAATATTATTGAACACGTTTGACAGTGCAGTCACTGTACAAAAAATGAAAGCATTTGTTCACAAACTTTACGAAAACCCAAGAATATGTAACACAACAAGCTTAATAATAAATAGTTTCTAGTTTTACTCTCAACTTAAAAAAAAAAAAAAACACTTATTCTGCGAAAAACGAAAAACTTGCACTATCTCCATTTCCTACATTGCTTTTTAATATATGAAAAGAATCTATACATTCCAACTTTAGAAACGTCGGATCTTGTTTATTGTGACAATGGCAGACAAAGTCAAGAATCATATCTCTGCAATGAAGTAAAATTGTTGATTATTAGTTATTGCACAGAAAAGGGCATAAATAAACAACATATATTTAGGGACTATGTAATTCTTCGTGAAATGCATGGTACGCAGCATTGTTAAGTTTGAAATAAGGAGGCATGGCCCAATTTATAAGGGAAAAGTTTTACTGTGACGTCACATAAAAATTAAACCTTTTTTGCATTCCTCGTCATAACAGAAAATGAAATAACTGCTTTGAACTGCATTAGCATTATAAACAACAATAAAACTTATCAATGCATTTAAAAAAAAGTTGCTAGTAAAAATCCTATACAGTTGGTTATAAACAAATCACTAATCTCGATGAACTTGTCAATCATGACGTCATTTTGGTAAAAATGACGTATTTCATAAGCTGTGAGAGGCAGATTGATGATTTTTTAAACAAAGAAAAATGCGTTTTATTTTAAAACAGAATGTTATTTACAGGTTTTAAAAAGGCTATTAATAGCAATGTATACCATTTGTTTAGTGCGTCATTCACTAACTATCAAGAGAATGTATTTAACGAGGTTTTTCTTACAAATATCAGAATATATCGGATATTCTTTTAATGATAAGCAACATCCTACAGATAATTTTTTACTAGATCTTTAATGATTAAAATTACAAATTACTAAATAAGGAACACAGGGACATTTCAATTCTGATTTTATGACGTCAGCTCCTTTGCAAGTATTACGTCAAATTCATAAAAAAATCCGCATTTTTTGGAAAAAGTCATAATATAAAAGAGTAAGAAAATTAAGAACGTTATTAACAATTAACAAAACAAATTTAAAAAAAGGTTTAACTCTATTTAAATAACTACTTATAATTATTTCATTAGGATAGAATGGGATAGAATTAGGAGGATGAGCATGGAAAAATAAAAGTATTTTACTTATTAATTTAACACTATTCTATGCAAATGTTATACAAAATAGTCACAGTCTTTACTTAGAAAAGAAATTTTTTAACAAAATAAATGCACGTAACTTTCTTTAAGCTTACAAACAATA